AGTGGTTTCCTGCTACTTCACTTCAGATCCAACTCCCTACTAATGTGCCTGGGAACGCACCACAGGATGCTCCAAATACTTAGATCGCTGAACCCAAGTGGGAGACCTGGATGAAGTTCCTCACTCCTGGCTTTGGCCTGCCCCAGCGTTGGCCTTTGTAGTAACTTAGAGTGTGAACTACTAGATGTAAGATTTCTCTCTGTCTCTTGTTCTCTATCTCTGTAACTCTACCTTTATAATAAAGAAATAAATGTTTGCCTGGCACCGCAGCTCAGTAGGCTAATCCTCCGCCTAAGGCGCTGGCAACCCAGGTTCTAGTCCCGGTTGGGGCGCTGGTTCTGTCCCGGTTGCTCCTCTTCCAGGCCAGCTCTCTGCTGTGGCCCAGGAAGGCAGTGGAGGATGGCCCAAGTCCTTGGGCCCTGCACCCGCATGGGAGACCAGGAGGAAGCATCTGGCTCCTGGCTTCAGAATCGGTGCAGAGCACCGGCCGCAACGCACCAGCCATAGTGGCCACTTCGGGGGTGAACCAATGGAAAAAGGAAGGCCATTCTCTCTGTCTCTCTCTCTCACTGTCTAACTCTGCCTGTCAAAAATAAATTAATTAATTAATTAAAGAAAGAAAGAAAGAAATGTTTAAAACACCCAATTTATTCTCATTGCCTATAGGACTAGGAGAAAGAAAATCATATGTGGATAAAAACACATTACCTGATAATGTGCTCAATTACATAATATGTAAAGAACCTTAAGATCTCAATAATAGAGAAGAAGGAAAGTAAATTAATAATCAGGATATGTCAGTGGGTCTTTGGCTTAGTGCTTAGATCACCATTTTTGACACCTGCACCTCAAATCAAAGTGGAGATAGATACTTGCCTTGGATTCATGACTCCAGCTTCCTGTTAATGAGGAACCAGGGAGGTTGTGGTGAGGGCTCAAGTAGTTGGGTTCCTGCAGCCCACATAGGAGATGTGGGTTGAGTTCCAGCTCCCAGCTTCTGCCTTGGTTTAGCCCTCGTCATTCTGGGCATTTAAGAAGTGAACCAGTGATGGGATCTCACCTGCCTGCTCTCTCCCTCTCAAAAAAAAAAAAAAAATTGGCAAAAGATTCAGATAACCCACCAAAATGTATGCATAATAAACTTATGGAGAAGAGACAGCTACAGTGCTGTTTTCCTCCTGGAGAGGATACAATGTTTCCAGTAATCTGAAGAAACATTACATTATATTGGAATCAGACCTCTACAAGGAAACCTTCTTTGATAACATTGTATATTTATATTTTGTATAGCCAGAAACAAAATGCACTGAAGCTTACCTGAATCTCCTAGGAATCAGAAGCAAAAGAGGAACATTCAATAGAAGGAACATTCAATATTAGAGATGGATGACCGAAACCCTAATAGTATTGAAAAAATGAAAAAAAATGCCAAATATGGCCGTTGTGGCACAGTTGGTGAAACCATCGCCTGTGATGTTCTTACCACCTATGAGCACAGGTTTGAGTGTGGGCTGCTCCTCCTCCAATTCAGCTACTTGACACTGTGCCTGGCAAAGGAGCTTCGGCTCATGCCACCCATCTGGGACACCCAGATGAAATTACAGGATTCTGGATTTGGCCTGTCCTAGTATGGGCTTTTGAGGGCATATGGCGGATGAATTAGCAGATGTATATCACATTCTCTCTCTCTCCCTGCCCCTGCAACTCTACCTTTCATATAAATAGATATTGTTTAAAAAAAAAGTCTCTGTGACTGAAGACAGAGAAGTTAAAAAACATACCAAATAAATCATGCAACAATGCTGATAGAAAATAGAGGTTGGGCTCACACTGGGGTAAGTGAGGTAAGCTGCTATCTACAATGCTGACTTCCTAAAACAGAGCAGCAGTTTGAGTCCTGGCTGCTCTGCTTCCCATCCAGCTCCCTGCTAATCTGCAAGGGAAAGCAGCAGAATATGACTCACGTACCTGATCCCCCATACCCACATGACAGACCTAGATGAATTTACAGGATCCTGGAACCAGACAGAAGTACTCCTGAACATCGTGGCCATTTGCAGAATTAACCAGTATGTAGTGGAACTTCTCACTCTCTCATTTCCCCCACCTCTGTCTCTCATTTTTTCAAATATTTAAAGGATTTCTAAAACTGAAAATCTAAGTCGTATAACATAGCACAAGTGCATAAAACTTACCTAAAGGGACATTATGATAATCTCTGGGAATATCAAGAATGAATAAAATAAGTAGTAAAATCCTCAGACCAGAAGATAAGTCTGCAAAATACAAGCAAGCTATCTGAATGTCAAAGAATGTATGTGATGCAAAATCAGATTTCAAGATATACTACAAGGCTGTTATAACCAAAACAGCCTAGTACTGGCACAAAAATAGACATAAGGACTAATATATTGGAATAGAAACCCAGAAATTAACCATGCATCCATATCCAACTAATCTTTGAAAAATTATCTAAAGCTGCTCACTGGGAAAAGGTCCTTGTCTTTATCCTGTTCTATGTCCACTCCATTCACTCTTCTTTCTCTAGGTTGTTGTCTGAATTTTCCTTGTCACTACAACTGCTCTTTTTTTTTTTTTTTTTTGACAGGCAGGGTGGACAGTGAGAGAGAGAGACAGAGAGAAAGTGCGGGGCCGGCGCCGTGGCTCACTAGGCTAATCCTCCACCTAGCGGCGCCGGCACACCGGGTTCTAGTCCCGGTCGGGGTGCCGGATTCTGTCCCGGTTGCCCCTCTTCCAGGCCAGCCCTCTGCTGTG